AGGCAATAGCAAGTGTTCCTGATGTGCTGCTGGTGGAAATGCAAAATGGTGCAGCCATTGTGGTGAACAGTCTAGCCGTTTCTTACCGTAGGACCCAGCTCTTTTCTTCCTACGTATTTAGAGAAGTTAAATCCTGTGTCTATACAAGGGCTTGTGCATACATGCTCATGGGCAGCTTTATTTGTAATAGTTCTAAATAGAGAACAACTCAGATGTTCTCCCAGCTCAGCAGAGGAACCCCCTCTGGTCTGGCCACACACACAGTGGAACACAACTTGATTAAAAAAAAGGGGTGGGGGCACCTGGTGCCTCAGTCAGTTAAACGTCCAACTTTTGGCTCTGGCTCAGGTCATGATTTCAGGGTCCTGAGATCGAGCCTGGCATCAGACTGGTGCTTAGGGTGGAGTCAGCTCGAATCTTCTCTCTCCTTCTCCCTCTGCCCATCCCCTACTCACACAAGTGTGTGCTGTCTCTCTAAAAGAAAAAAAAAAAGTGGTAATGAACTACTGATACATGCAACAACTTGGAACAATTTCAGAATCATCGTGCTGAGTGAAAGAAGCCAAGCACAAAGCTTATGTACATATAACATCCTGGAACATGTGAACTATTCTTGGTGACAGAGCAGATCAGGTTGCCTGGCAGTGGAAAGGGCAGAGAAGAGGGTGCTGGGAAGGGGTGCAGGACACTGGTGGGGGTGATGATGTATGTTCATCATCTTGACTGTGGTCATGACCATGGTGGACATGGTCAAGGTCATAGATTTACACACTTGTCAAAACTGCACAAAGCGTGTGCTTAACATGGGTTATTTAGTCTACTCTAATTACACTTAACAAAGGTGAAAGGCGGGGGGAGGCGCCTGGGTGGCTCAGTCGGTTAAGCATCTGCCTTCAGCTCAGGTCATGATCCCAGGGTCCTGGGATTGAGCCCCATGTCGGGCTCCCTGCTCAGATGGGAGTGTATGGTTTGTTTCCCACCTGCTAGACTGACCAGGTGAACCGTGTGAGAGTTCACTGTAATCTCAGGGCTCTGCACTGATTCTCACTGTGGCCGCCAGGGGTGGAAACAGCCCAGCCCTGCAGAGGGATTCAGGAGGAAGATGAAGAAAATGCCATGGGACCCAGCAAGTCTCCTTCCAACCTCCCAGGAATGATACCTACTAGAGAGGGCTATGGATTCATCCTGGCACTCTTTCTAACAGCAAACAGCTGCAAACGACCCGAATGCCCAGCCATGCAAGAATTTGCTGTTAAACTCTGGCCATTCTCAGAACTGAATACTACACGGCTGTGCAAAAGACCGAGGCGACACAGGGCTGACAATGTGGGAAGACCTCCAGGATACTTGGCGAAGGAAAGAGCAAGGTGTGCACCTGCCCGGGGAAGGAAGCTTTGCTTCATGTAGGAAGAGCCGATGAGGATGCAGAGACCCTCTGCAGGGAAACACCAACATAGTTGTATAACCTGTTCCCGTGGTAACCACTGGGGAGCCATGGTAGGCAGAAGAGGGAGATAGTTGCCCTTTACCTTTTCATGCCTGTTGAACTCTGTGTTTGTTAATACCATCGAAAGGTAAGTGATTAATCAAAAAAAGGAACATATGTAAGCACATGGGATGGGAGAGGAAATAGGAATAAGGAGAGCTGCTGTTCAGAAGTTGACCGTGAACCAAAGCAATCATATTGATCATGAGAAGAGCAAACACATCAAGTGCTCACCAGTGCATTAGGGCTTTCATGCAGAGCAACCCTTTAATCCCTGTACCCACCTCAGAGGTGTGCACTGTGCCCCCGCTACAGGAAAGGGAGGGTGGGGGGGGGACAGGCTCAGGAACTAAGAGCCTCCAGCTTGGCTTGCTTCCCTTACTCACAGTGCCCTAGGATCCTCTTCCAATTAGGCTGAGAAAAGGGATATGGGGTCTGTCCCCTGGCTGGGGATGGGGGGCAATAATTGTATGGAGCCCACGGCAACCCCTTCCTGTTTATTTTTCTCACATTCTGTTGTGATGCCTATTACTCTTATTTTTCTTGTTTTTGTCCATTTTCTCCCAATAGCATGTCAGCTCTCGCAGGACTGGAGTTTTTTGTTGTCCTGATCACTGCTGGGTCCCCAGTGCTTGGCACATGGAGGTAGTCGAATGAATGAATGAATGATTAGAATGAATGAATGATCAAATTAGGAGGAAGAGCCTTAGGTGATTTGGGAGCAGGAACAGTTAGGGGCAGGAGAGGAGGGGCTGGGGGGGAGGACCTTGTGGCATCTGGAGTCCAGGGGTGAGTGCCTTGGGGGCATTTGCAGGAGGAAGGGACAGGAGCAGAATCTTGGGCCAGTGCGTGGAGCCCTGGAAAGATGGAGGTGCTGTTAGCCCAAATGGGGAAGGTGGGGCAGCTCAGGTGGTGATGGGCAGGGTGGTGATCCAACCTGGGTTGAGGCCCAGTGTGGCCCAGGAGCCTGGATTAAGAAAGGGCACTTTCAAGGTCCAATGGAATAAGAAAAACTGGGAGGACCAGGGAGCCCAGGGGTGCCCTTGCCAACCAGGAATTCAGCTGGGCCTGATTGAAAGGCAGTGAGTGACAGAGGCAAAGGGATACTAGCCCGGAACAGCTGACTGGGCTGGGCTCTCAGCTTGGCTCAAGGTTAGGTGAGGGGGCAGCCCAGAGCAGAGCATCTGGGAGGGAGGGGGAAGAAGGGAGGGTCAGGGGAGTGGCAGGCATGGGGGGGGGGCGGCCAGGGCCACACTCACCCAGCAGAGCCAAGAAGGGAAAAAAATGCTTCTTAACAAACTTTAGACAACACACACCCCTTCTCTCCCCAGGGTTCCTCCTTCTGCTCCAGCTGCGGGAGTCACCCTGACCCAGGCCTTGAAGATAGAAGCGCCTGGCTCCAAGGCTGGGGCTGAGCCTGGAGCCCTTCCCTCCCTCTCCCTACACCTCCCCTCTCCCTTCTCCTCACCTGCCATCCCTGCTCCCCCTCCTCTGGCCCCCTCTCCATCCCTCCCAGCCCTCGATTTGTGCAGCCGGCCTGCTGTCGTTTTCCAGTACCTTTTTCTACTCTCCCACTCCCTGCCTGCAACCTGGGGAAACTGAGGCCCGGCGCTGGCAGTTCAAGCAGGCTGGAGTGGCACAGCTCCAGGGCAAGGGCCCCTGCCTCCCCAGTCCGAACATTATACGCCATTTAAATCTCATAACCCCAAGAGCTGGAGACTATTATTAGCCTCATCCCCCAAGGATGGGGAAACTGAGGCCCGAAGAGACAATACGGCCCGGGAACCATCTGTGGGTTATGAACTTATTCCCGCCGCACCCACACCAGCGTCCAGGCTCTTGGCCTCAGCGGCACAGCCGAGGCGAGAGCTCTGCTGCCACCTGGTGGACACTCGCGGCACCGTCGTCAGGGTGGAGTCGCCTGTTGCCTGCTGTCCTGAGCAGGAAAGAAGTCAGAGGCAGTAGGAGGCAGGCCGGGTCCCCTGACTACACTCCACCCCTCATCCTCCTCTCCCACCAATTTTCTGGTTTTTCAAGACCTAAATGTCCACCCCCAATGGGGGGTTCAATCCCAGAATCCTGAGATCATGACCTGAGCCAAAGGCAGAGGCTTAACCCACTGAGCCACCCAGGCACCCCAAGCCATAGAATTTTAAGTGACAATTGCAACAACGTATTTAGGTTTGTAACATACGTAGATATAATACGTTTAACAATAGTAACAAAATAATAACAATAATGAGACAAAGGGGGGGGGTAGAGGAAATTAATCATACAGTAGTAACATTTCTAAATCTCATCAAAATTAAGGCAGCAGGGGCCCCTGGGTGGCTCAGTGGGTTACGCCTCTGCCTTCCGCTCAGGTCATGATCTCAGGGTCCTAGGATGGAGCCCTGTGTCCCGCTCTCTGCTCAGCGGGGAGCCTGCCTCCCCCCCCCCGGCCCCCTTCCCCCCTTCCCCTTTCTACTTTTAATCTCTCTCTCTCTCTGTCAAATAAATAAAATCTTAAAAAAAAAAAATTAAGGCGGGACGCCTGAGTGGCTCAGTGGGTTAAGCCGCTGCCTTCGGCTCAGGTCATGATCCTAGGGTCTTGGGATCGAGTCCCGTATAGGGCTCCTTGCTCAGCAGGGAGCCTGCCTCTCTCTCTGCCTCTGCCTGCCTCTCTGCCTGCTTGTGTGCTTTCTCTCTCTCTCTTTCTGACAAATAAATAAATAAAATCTTTAAAAAAAAATTAAGGCAGCTAAGAGATTCTAAATTAAGATATATGTGTTAAGCCCTAGAGCAACCACTAAGGAAATAACTTTAAAAATGTAGGGTCGGGGCGCCTGGGTGGCTCGGTGGATTAAAGCCCCTGCCTTTGGCTCAGGTCAAGATCCCGGAGTCCTGGGATCGGGCCCCGCGTCGGGCTCTCTGGTCGGCGGGGAGTCTGCTTCCTCCTCTCTCTCTGCCTGCCTCTGTCTACTTGTGATCTCTCTCTCTGTCAAATAAAAAAATAAAATGTTTAAAAAAAAAAAAAATGTAGGGTCCCAGGCTGGCTCATGGGTGGAGCATGAGACTCCTGTTCTCAGGGTTGTGAATTGAAACCCTACCTTGGGCGTAAAGATTACTTAAAAAATTAAATATTAAAAGAAAAAATATTAAACATATATAAAAAATCATTAAAAGAATTAAAATATTACACTAGAAAATAGTCACTTCGTGGAATATAAAGCAGTAAGGAAATAAATTCTACACGCGAGCATTCCCTGCGTTCCCTGGAAGTGGAACGCTCAAACTACCACGCAGACCTTCCCGGGCGCCTACGACTCCCGGCGTGCTGCGCACGACGCTCCTTTACGGCCATGGAGGAAAGGGAGGGGCTCGTGGCGCTTCCTCACGTGTAGTTTCGCCGTGGAAGAAGGAGGGGCTGTGAAAGGTTGGTGGATCTGGAGCCAGTGAAAAAGCAGATCTTGTTGAGCGTCGGAACGAGAAGCCAATGGGCGCGCAGCTTGCAAGAGGCGGGACTTCCGTCAACGAAGTCTTGGTGAGCGGCTGCGCGAAGAAGGCCACTTCCTTTCTCGTGCGGCGGCGAAAGTGGATAGATCGCCATGAAGGCCTCGGGCACAGTAAGGCGAGCGCTGCGGGCCCGGGGACCGGGTAGTGCAGTGCGGATCGATTCGGGGGCGCCGGCAGGTGGCGTTGGCCGCGTAGCGGGAAAGCGCTCTTGGTCGGGCCCGGTGCCACCGCGCGCCATCGCCCCCAGGCCCAGCCAACATGGCGGCCATTGCGGCGCCGCGTGGGGAGGCTGGTGCCATGGTTCCGACCCGCTGGGGAATCTCGGGGGCCGGAGAGGTCGGCTCTCCTTTCCAGGGGAAGGGACAAATTGCGCGGCCTGGAAGTTCGAGCCACGGGACTGAGTCGATCTTCCAAATCTCGGGTCCCCCATTTGCAAAGTGGTCACGGTGGGAGGAAACGTTAATATTTCTTGTTTCCTGACGGGGCTGTAAGAAGTAGAAAACAACCCGAGCTGACAAGGGGAGGTTTATCGTGGCAAGTGCTTAGTAAAATCAGAGGGCGCTGTGGCGCAGAGATGGAAGAGCGAGCCCTCGGGAGAAACAGGGTGGGTCCTGTACAGCTCCCCAGCCTCAGTTTCCACGCTGGGGAAGAGGCCAGCTGTATCGGTCTTTTCCTGAGCAGGTGGTCCGCGGGGCTGATTAGTCACATTGAGACATGGAAGTAGGAGACAAGTTTGAGATATTTGGCGCCATTCTTATATTAATAAAATGATTGACGAGTCATTTACGAAGGTGGGTTCGTTGTAATATATCGCAGTGTTTGGATCTAGCCGACGTCTTTGTCTTTGCATCTTTGTAAACGGGGAGAGCACTGGGAAGTCTAAACAAACCCCTTTGGACTGCTGCTGTGAATACTGAAGCAGCTGCAGATCCCATGGCAGCAGGCCTGGAAAGGGAACTGGATACTTGTCCTGGTTCTGCCTGGAGTGGGCTGTGAGATCCCAGGCTGGCCACTGTCTTTGGGCCCCAGAGTGAAAGAGCACTTTGGGAAGATGTGAGCTGCAAAGATGCTGGGAAGGAAGAAGCCTGCAGGTTTAGGCTTCAGCTGCTTTCACAGGAATATAAACGGAAGGGGAAGGACAGCCAGATTGACAGCCATGCCCAGCTTTCCTGAGCCAAGGCAGAGGGTAACCAGGCATCTTAACTCTCCCTGCCCTCGATCCCTGTTTTGGGAAGGCTGGGGCAGTTGGCATGACACAGTCACTGGGATTCCATATGGATGCCCTGTGATGGGACAGTCTGTTCTCACTCTCCTGATTTCAGTTCTCACCAAGCTTGGGAAAGGAAGCAAGGTGAATCTCACAGTTGGCCTCAGGGCTCTGGGTCAGGCCCCACCTCAACTCCTGTTTGTGTTTCAGCTGCGAGAGTACAAGGTGGTGGGGCGCTGCCTGCCCACCCCAAAATGTCGCACTCCGCCCCTGTATCGCATGCGAATCTTTGCACCTAATCACGTCGTCGCCAAGTCCCGCTTTTGGTACTTTGTGTCTCAGCTGAAAAAGATGAAGAAGTCCTCAGGGGAAATCGTCTACTGTGGACAGGTACGGGGTGTCTGAGAGCAGGGTGGGGTCTGGAGTGGATTGACACCTTCCCGTGGGGGTTCCTCACCCCACAGAATTCCCAGACTTCATAAACCGTGGCTTGTTCGCATGTGGTAATTAAGTCCTAGGTTGGGATGGGGTGGATAACCTCAGTGCCCTTTTCCCGATGAGAGAGCCCAAGGTCCGGAAGTGTGTGGCTGGTATGCTTGGACACCTCGGCTGAGGCCAGTGCTTTGGCTGAGTCTCCTATATAAAGTAGGCAGAGCTGCTGTCACCTGAGCACATTTGCTGTGATGGGCGCTGGGCTCTGCATCAGACACCTGCAGGGTGGTAGCTGCTTTTGGACCCAGGTAGTCTTGGGAGAGTAGTGTTTGGGAGGAGTCTAGCTGGTGGTCCACATGGGGGAGGTGTGCCAGCCTGGCTGGCCGTGTCCGCTCCACTGTTGCCATGGGGATTTGTCTAGGACAGCAGGTTGCTTTCCTGTGCTCTGAGATTCAAGGACTGGGAAACAGATACAAGAGAGGCCTGGGGAAAAGGATTAGCGAGGCTGCTGGCCTTCTTGTCTCAGCCAGTGTCTTTGGCACTTAGGTGTTCGAGAAATCCCCCTTGCGAGTGAAGAACTTTGGCATCTGGCTGCGCTATGACTCGAGAAGCGGCACCCACAACATGTACCGGGAGTACCGGGACCTGACCACCGCGGGCGCCGTCACCCAGTGCTGTGAGCTGCCAGGGCCACACCCAGTCCTCCCTTAGGGCTCCTGTTGCAGGGATCTGCAGCCCAGTCAGCCTGTGCCCTGCTTCCTGCCCACTCCTTGCCAAACTGAGGCAGGAGTGCCAGAGTGCCAGAGGCTTCTTGGATTAGGGGATCAGGCAGTCCAGGGGTGGTGGGGGGCAGGAGTGGAGAGGATGCTCCAGGTGCCTCTTCTGGAACCTGCCAGCAGCTGGAGCTTCAGGGTCCTTCACTTCTGCAGACATAATTCCCACCCACAGTCTAGCCCCTAGCCCCGGCCCTGTCTGTTGGGATCTGGCACTGGTGGCCCTGGTGCTCCTAGGGCGGGTTACCTGCCAGAGGCCAAACCCAAGCACCTCAACCCAAGAACTGCTGTTTCTCATAGCAGCGGTTTAAACAGAGGTGCTAACAGCAAGTGGATCTCGTCGCCTTTGGGGGGCTGTGGCCGTGCCCCTCAAAGTGAATTTGGAGGTTCTACACCCCTGATAACGCTAGTGCCTGCTGGGGCCAGAGGCTCCAGCCACCCAGTCCCCAAGTTGGGGTCCCTCTAGGCCAGTACTTGATGGGAGGTTTGAGGAATGCCCAGAACCCGGGGTGCACATTCGCCCTGCCTCCTTTCCTGCAGACCGAGACATGGGTGCCCGACACCGTGCCCGAGCGCACTCGATCCAGATCATGAAGGTGGAGGAGATGGCAGCCAGCAAGTGCCGCCGGCCAGCAGTCAAGCAGTTCCACGTGAGTGCCCAGGGCCCTGCTGGGCAGGCTCGGGGGAGGGGGGGCTTCCCTGGACCGTGGAGCTGCCCCAGCTACTCCCCTGTCCCCCAGCCTCGGGAGCTGCAGGGAGGCACTGGGTTTGACGCAGGAGCCCAGTGGGGGGTTGCCACACCTCAGTGGCCCCTGGAAGACTAGGTTGAGAGGCTTCCACCCCCCACTCACCCATCTCTCCTTATCACAGGACTCCAAGATCAAGTTCCCACTGCCCCACCGGGTTCTGCGTCGCCAGCACAAGCCACGCTTCACCACCAAGAGGCCCAACACCTTCTTTTAGGTGCAAAGCCTCCATGTGTCTCCAGGTCTGCCCGAATAAACTTCTTGGGAAAACCAGGGTGCTCAGACACTCTTATTTTCTTTGTACACCCTGTAGAACTCAAGAGGGCGCAGCCAGGCTATGAGTTCTCTGCTTGGGGAGGGGTCCTCCTCTCTGGAAGTGGGGCCCAGGCACCTGATTTCTCCAGAAAGGGAGCCCCAGGAGTGCCAAAAGCCACACCTCCAAGCGCTCTCCTCCCCACTTGGCTCCCCAGGGTTTCATCCAGCAAGGGGCTCTCGTGGGCAGGGTCCTGGAACCGGAAGGCCCAGTTTGCAGCCCCAGCAGGTAGCCTTCTGCTGTGAGCTTTGGGGGTTGTTTTAAAGGCCCCAAGGTTTGGCCCCTAAACCTGTCCCACCTTCTTATTAGAGGCTTCAGCTCATGTCTGGTGAGATATGGCAGTCAGATGTCAGATGCCTGGAAGGAGCCAGGATGATGGGGTTGGAACCCCAAACCTGTGAGGTTTCACCTCTCAGAACCCTAGTCTTTAGTTCCAGGATCCTCAGAGCAGACACCAGGGGGCACTGGAGAGGGCCATGAGCTTGCTGTGCTGTGGTGGTTTCTCCCTTCACTAGGTGCCGGCCCCTTGAAGGATGCCCTGATCCTGCCCAAGAAGTTCAAGGTCTCACCATTGGTATCAGTTTCCAGGAAACCACTTGAGGCCCTGGGGAATTCCAGGCATGAAGCTAATCCCACCCTGGCTGAGCCCCTCAATCAGGAGGCTGAGGCATGGCTAGGAGGGCAGTTCTTCTTGGGAAGTGTCCTTGGTGTGTGACCTTGGGCAGCCCTGGCCCACACTGAGCGAGTCCTCATCAGAAGGTTAGGGCACTCGGCAGATTTACTCAGTGGACAGTATTTGGAGAGTCACAACTGTAGGCGCTGGGGGCTAAGGTCAGCCAAGATCTGCCTGCTGTCGCAGAGAGCCACGGAACTGGAAGAAGCCAGGGCACAAAAAGGCAGTGTGGGTGAGGGTCTGGGGAGCAGTCAGGCCTGGAGTGTCCCAGACAAGGGTACAGCCTCCCTTCCCCCACTTGAGGTGGGATAGCTCATTGGCATGATCGATCCTGGTGGCTTCCAGAAAACTGGCTCACTTCAGGCCCTACCTGTGTTTGGAGAGGTGCCCAAGGCAGGGCGTGGGCACAGCCAGCCACTGTCCCAAGAAGGACCTGGGCACAGAGTACCAGGCTTCCCAGATCTGCACTGGCTGTTTCCCCCCCTGCTTTCAAACGCCTTTGCATGTACTGAGCCTTCTGCCTGGATGCCTATGGATCATCACTGGTTCGGCCTCACCGAGGTTTGTAAGCCACACGTGTATTCTGGGGACAACAGGTGGATTTTTGATGTCCCCCCAGATGGAGTCTGAGGAGGGCGGAGACCGCATGTATTCCTCCTTGGCCCCAGGACGGGTTTAATAAGTCTGGGACCCAGAAAAGTGTGAGGACAGCCAGTGACTATCCCTCACCTGTGCATCACATGGAGAAAGGGTGGTGATAAACAGGTCCCCAAGTGGCTGGACCCAAGCTTTTAATTTCTGACCCTGCCAACCCCCCCGCCCCACCCTGTAGGTACACCAATTTACTCTCCCCATAGTATTTAATAATAAGGCCTGTTATTTAATAATAAGGTCTGTTTTCTCTCAGCTTTGCCAGTACCATTGGTTAGTAAACTTGGATGGCCGGGAAAAAAATCACATTTTAGGGATTTATATTTGTCTTTTCTTCTTAAGAAGTAGGCACTTCTCTATAAAATGAATTTGTATGGCTTTGTCTCCCCTCATGGGGCTGCTGGTCGTTTTTTAAGTTACTGTTTTGTAAAAGCTTCTTTCATATGTGGGGCAAAAACCTGAAAATCTATTTCCCCCATATATGCTGCAAATTCTTCCAAGGCACTTGATGTTCTTTAAGCTGTATTTTGGGGCCAGCCAGGCTAGAATTTTTTGAGTTTTTTTGCCTTGTTAATGTCATTAATCTTTTGTGACTTAAGGCAGACACCTCTAGTTGTCCCCAAATACTTCATCCTCCATAATAGGATCTCCATATCTAGATGCCACCCACAAAGAAAAAAAAACATTTCCCAGCCTTCTTTTCATTAAGGGGTAACTGTGATACTAGCCACAGCGATGTGTGCCATTTCCAGGAAATAACCCATCTGGCTGGAATATAGGCACAATGTCTGGTGCTCCGGCAGCCATCTTTGGCCAGTAAGAAGCCACACTGGAGCAATAAGGTTGAAGGACTTTGGGTATCAGCCTGTGTCTATGTGATAAGAGGAGAGAGAAGGAAACAGCAGTACAGCTTAGGCTGTAATCTGGAGGTTTTCCGTCACTTGTGACTTGGCCCTGACGTGAGCCCTGATGGTGTGCCTAGGGCGAATCACTACCCACTCAGCTTTAGTTTCTTACCGTGTAAGGTGTGGTTGGTTCTGGGTGTGGGAAGACTAAAGATGAGCTAGAGAGGATACACCGCCAGGAAAGTGGAAGGCATGGGCCCCACAAAGGCCCACTGTGCACCTCCATCCCACCCGGGGCTTCAAGGCTTCATCCATGTACAGCCTGGGAACCAGGTGGGAGGGCTCTGCCCCAACCAGCCGGAGGATGGTATCCGTCCCTTACTGAGGGACCTTCGCACTGAGGAGGAGTGAGCCCCAGCTCCCTGATACATCTGGTCATCCACCCGCCCTGCCATATACTCATCGTCAGTAAGTTTGCCCACAGACCCCTCCACTGTGTAACCACCTGCCTGGGAATCTGCATTGCCCACCTACCCTCCCACACCCAAACCCTGCACAGAGCGGTTGCCTGGGCGCTGGCTGGAGATAAGGGCTGCTGAACAGAGCCCTCTCAAGAGATAGCTCAAGAGTGAGAACCAAGCAGAACAACAGCAAAACTGGAGACTGGCAGTAACGAGCCCTTCGGTGTGAGGTCCATGAGGCAGGGCTGGCCTCCAGGATCGTTGATGGCCCCTCTGGTTGGCTGGGGGCTCCCAGGCCCTGTCCCAGGGTTTGCCCAGGTGCCAAGTGCCACACCTGGCAGGACTGGGAGCCATGGGGGAGAGATCACAAGTTGCCCCTCCCTGCACTGCCCCCACTCCTGAGTGAGGACCATTGAGCAAGGGCAGGCACCAAGATAAGAGAAGCCGGGCAGGGGTTCCAGAAGACCTGAGCCAGATCCTGAAACCAGGAGAGACTACCTAAGAGTCGTGGACCCCTAGAACCACAGTTGGAATCCTCAGGGCTTAACAATGGCGGACTCTCTCAGGAAGCTACGGCACCATCAATAGAAATGGTTTGCTTTTACTGAGTGCAGGGGAGAAGTTCAAAGCCAGACACCCAGAAGGTCCTGCTAGAGCCAGAGTAGCTCACAGCCTCTCACTCCTGACCCCTGCCATGTCTCCAGGGAGCCATGGGGGTGCTCCCTGGCAGCAAGCAGCGGTGGGGACAGCAGACAGCCAAGCAAACACACTGACATTCCTGCCCCTTGTGCTCAGACTGCAGCTGCGGGCCATGGGGGATCTCCCTGCCCCTCCCCCTTCACCAACGGGGTCCTGCCTGCTCCCTGTCCATGTGGGAACTACACAGTCAGGGAAGGTCCCACTGCATCTCCCCACCCTGCGCCCTCCAACCCTAAAGAAGATGGTCCCGCCCACCCTTCATGGTTCCAAACTCTGGGCCCCCTCTCACATCCTGGAATTCCAGATCACATGACGAATCCACCCATTTCTTCTCACCCCACAATCACTGCCATGGACATGGTGGGCTTTTCAGAGTCTGTAAGTCTCATTAGGTCCCTCTTGCTCCAAACTCTCCAATGCCCTCCCCCCAGCACCCTCAAAATAAAATCCACACCCTTGGCCAAGACTCAGGGTCCCTTGTGGCCTTCCTTGTCCTCACTCAACTCTGCTTACTCCACTTGTTTGTACCTCAGGGCCTTTGCACTGGCTGTTCCCCCTGCATCTCTCCAAGCTTGGCTCATCTCTGCCTGCAGGCCTGCACTCACCTCCTCCAAGACTTCCCACCCCATAGGCTCCCAGGCCCACTCCATCTCTGACCTTGCTTCACTCAACCAGCAGCTTCTGAAACCTATGTGCGTTTATCTGCTGGCTTGGTCAGTGTCAAGTTCCTGTGAGCAATATGGTTCCACCTGGATCCTGCTGAGTCCCCAGCAGTGGGCACACAGGCATGCACACAGTAGGTGCTCAATGAATGGGCCTCAGCCCCAGTGTCTGTCTGTCTAGCCTCCCACTTCACAGTAGAGGAAGAGAAAGACTGGCCATGGATGGTAACCACTTCTAGAACCTCCCTGGGGAGGGAGGACCGAGTTTGTGTGTGTGTCCTATAACAATTTGCATATATTTAAATTCACTTGCATGGCTTTTTGGGAAGGGGATCCCCTCCAGGAATTTTCCTTTCCCATCAGATTGTCCAGAAGGGTACAGTGCATCCGGGCCTGAAAGAATGAAGACGGGAAGGAAAAGGAACAATGTCCTCCCCCGCACCCTTCTAGCTGGGGTGGAGCAGTGCATGCCAGCGGGCAACAGATCTATCGGAGTCTGGGGGCAGGAGGTGGCGGTGTGCAAGCTGGCCCGCACCCCGTTCGAAGAGGGAGAGCCCCAGGGGACAGGAAGGTTTGCACAGGAGATGCTGGACCAAACTGGAGTGGCGCGAGTCGGCTGGAGACCACCAGGAGGCGGCAGAGGCTTGGAGAGGACGCCGGGGCCCACACGAACCCAGCAGAGGTCCAGATCCCTCCTACTGGTGGAGGAGGGAACCCAGTTTCCAGACACCAAGTCAGGACTCGAACCCAGAAGTCAGAGCCTCCAGAGGCCAAAGTCCCTCAAGACCACCAACGAAGGGCCCCAAGACAACAGTGTCTGGGTCCTTTGATAGCACGACCCCAGGCAAGGGACTTGCCCTCCATAACCTTGGTTTTCTCTTGTGCGATGGGGGACATGTCAGACACTACCTCCCAAGGAGTCATGGGCCCCCCATTTATTCGGATTCGAGGCCACTGACAGTCCCTCCCCCATGACCTCTATTACACGCTCCATGAGTATTCCACGCAGGAAACAACAACTGAATGAAGACACCAATGAATGAATGAATGAATGAATGAAAGAGTGAAGGCTTTACTTTGTGCAAGGTTCCTACTATGTAGGTTCGATTTATTCCTTGGGGCAGGGACTACTTTATCTCCATTTATAGATGGGGAAACTGAGGTCCAATGACAAGCAAAGACTCCCCCAAGTATGTCTGCATTTAGGACCTGAACCCCAATGTGTCCCACTCAGCTTAGTCTGAGGCTGGGGTTTGGTGATTTCCTCTCACTAGGTTCTGAAGAAGGAGTGGCTGCAGGTGCCCGTTGGGGGAAGGGTTCAAGCAGAACAAGTTTTCCTTAAGCGGCAGGGCAACCCAGAAAAGGAACCCCTGGTTTGTGGGAGAGTGAGCTCCCCTTCCCTTAAGGTACAAAAGCACAGCGGGGATTTGACTCCTGAAGCCACAGCTACCAGTCTTGTGGCCTCAGGTGAGTGTGACATGCCTTCCCAGAGCCTCAGTCCCCCACCTGTCAACGGGAGACATGAACAGCTTGGGGTGAAGGGATAGTGCCACCTAAGTAAGACGGGGTATTTGGGAGCCGCACCCCACCCCCACCCCGAGCAGCCACCCACGTGGCCGGCCTTGGCCTATCTGACCAGTCCTGGGCGGAAAGGGTGCGGGTCCTGCCCGCCCCCAACTCCAGGGGCGGGGTTTCGTGGACCCGGGAGCCCAATAAATCCACAGCCGGTCTTCGGGAGCCACCCCTTTAAAGCCCCACGGAGACCTCCAGCCGTCCGCGCAGAGCACGGCTCCCAGGGAACGGGACCGACGGCTGGGCGGTGGACACACCGCTGTCAGGGCCAGCCTTGCCGAGAGGCAACGAGGTGCGCCGACAGACAGACGGCAGAAGCAGACGCGTAGACGAAGAGGAGGGACAGGGAGGCAGCCGACCGCAGCGAGGACCCAGAGATTCCTTGCCCAGGGAGCCCCGGCCCAAGTCGTTTTCGCTGCCTCCCTCCAGGGGCCCAAGGAGACAGGTGTGGGGCCTCGCTGCAGAGGCCCAGCATCTTCCCGTCTCCACGCAGCCCTGCCTCCTCGGTCGCCGCCAGTTTCCCTTACCGGGGGGTTGCGGGGGTTGGCGGGGGGACACGCGCGCGTGGCTGGAAAGGCCGAGGACACCCTTGGCCCCCGCACCTGCACCTGATGGCCATCGTCGAGGCAGGAGCGCTGGCCACGTTCGGAGCCTGGGATTACGCGGTCTTTGCCCTCATGCTGCTGGTGTCCACGGGCATCGGGCTGTGGGTCGGGCTGGCGCGGGGCGGGCAGCGCAGCGCTGAGGACTTCTTCACCGGGGGCCGGCGCCTGGCCGCCCTGCCCGTTGGCCTCTCGCTGGCCGCCAGCTTCATGTCGGCGGTGCAGGTGCTGGGCGTGCCAGCCGAGGCCTACCGCTATGGCTTCAAGTTCCTCTGGATGTGCCTGGGACAGTTGCTCAACTCCCTGCTCACCGCCTTCCTCTTCATGCCGGTCTTCTACCGCCTGGGCCTCACCAGCACCTACCAGGTACCAGGCAGAGGCCCGGAGGCAGGACCTGCCTGGCTGAGAACGCAGGGTTGTGACGGGGAGGTCCTGGGGCTTTGACAAGCTGTACAGGGGGCCGTAGGCGGGCTCTTTGGGGCTTTAACGGGGCCGACGGGTGCGGAGGGTTCTGGGAAGTAGCCCTAGGCAGCGGAGTGAGGGGCAGGAAGGAGGAAGAGGAGCCTCCGTCCTGGTTCTCCTCGGTGGAAGCCCGCGCAAGGCGGAGCCAGGTGTGCACCAAGTGCGGACAGGCACAAACCTGTCCCCCACATGCTCGGGCGTGCGCACACCCGAGCGATCGCCGGACAATGGGCCGACGGTTCGAGACCCGACTTCCCCGCTTACTCTGCTCCGGCTTCCTAAGTGACAAACTGGGCTAATAAGAGGACTTCCCTCCAGGGCAGGCGGTAAAGTGATTAAAATCGTGACCGGTATACAGTAGGCCACCAATGACGACTGGCCACAGGCTCTGTATAGTCCGCTTGTTGACGCAGAGCGGCGCCGCCCCGGGGCCCAATTAGCCACCAGTGGGGGCGGAGGAACGTGCGCCTTTGATTGATCCGTCTTCCTGGGCACACTTCGTGTGCCCAGGAGCGGGGATGGTGCGTGTGCACAGGTGTGTGCACACTGGTCGGAATCTGGGGCTTGCGCCCCCCACCCCGCTCCACGGGCAAGAGTGGAGAGAGAAGTTGGCCTCCGGAGGGAGGGCAGAAGCCACGAGGGCGGGTGAAGCACCCCAGAGGCCTCGATCTCCTGGGTAGGACCTGTCCAGGTGACCACGAGCCTCGGCTCCTCCTTGCAGTACCTGGAGCAGCGCTTCAGCCGCAGCGTGCGGCTCTGCGGGACCCTGCAGTACCTGGTAGCTACAGTGAGTGGCCCCGGCCCCGCCCTCGCCCTCAGGGTCCCGCTCAGATCCCTTTTACCTGGGTCCTGGTCTTCGTCGGCCCCGCCCACAGCCTGCCCCCATCCGTCACGACCCCGCCCCGTAATTTCCCCCCAACCCCCATCCTGCAACGCCCTTCCCAGGCCCAGCCTCAAGCTTTCTGGCCCCGCCCCCTGCGGCCAGTTCTGGAGGTTTGGCCGGAAGGCCCGGCCCCCATACCCCCGGCTTGACCCCACCCCACCCTGTGTGGGATTCCCCCTACTCATCCGACGCCTCAAGCTCCGCCACCACTATTCCCTCCTTCCCCCTCCCCCGTCCTCCGCGGGCCTCACCTGGTCCCGGCTCTCCACCGGTAGATGCTGTATACAGGCATTGTGATCTACGCCCCCGCGCTCATCCTGAATCAAGGTTTGACTCTGGGAGATCTAGGGAGGGTGACCCGGAGAGAGCAAAGGCTTTGAGACGAGACCGAAGGAGAGGGGAGGGACAGAGCCGGGAGAGACTCGGGGAGGGAAGAATCCCGGAGAGATGAGGACCTTAGACACTAGGAGCCAAGTTTGCACCCTGCCTGGATGCCTAATGGGGGGCGGTTTCCTTGCACAGTGACCGGGTTGGACATCTGGGCATCGCTCCTGTCCACTGGAGCCATCTGTACCTTCTACACGACTGTGGTGAGTGACACCCCCACTCCACGTGGGGGTCCATGCGCACTGGGTGGGGACACCCTGAAGCCATCATCCACTCCTTATTTTCCCTTCCCGCTGAGGAAGCCTGCATCCCAGCTGGGCCTCTGTTTCCTTATCTTAATAACAAGTCATTTGAAAGTCTTGTTGCTGGGGCGCCTGGGTGGCTCAGTGGGTTAAGCCTCTGCCTTCAGCTCAGGTCATGATCTCAGGGTCCTGGGATAGAGCCCCACATCGGGCTCTCTGCTCAGTGGGGAGCCTGCTTCCCCCCTCTCTCTGCCTGCCTCTCTCCCTACTTGTGATCTCTATCAAATTTTTAAAAAAGAGAGAGAGAGAGAAAGAAAGAAAAAGAAAGTCTTGTTGCTGAGAGTCCAGGCATAGCCTAGCTTCAGGACTGGCTGGATCCAGGGGCTACAACAGCATCCTGTGGGCCCCTCTCCCATCTGTTGGGGTCCCATCAGCTCAGAAAGTAAGTTCCTATTTCAGGATGGACTGGCACAAGTCCCAGGAGGGTTCCGGTTGGCTGGCCCTGTCTTGCGTGCTGTGATTGGATGAGCCAATCACAGAAGTTTGGGGGGCTGGGGAAGATGTTTTGATTGACTATTTTTGGAGCTGGGAGTAGATTGGCTTCCCATGAATGGCCTTTGAGGGAGAAGGGGCTTCTCCAAAGGCATATCCAGGGGCTCACATGGGAAGGCAGAGGCTGAAGGATAAAAGCTATAGCTAAGAATAATGGTAGTAGAAGTAATGATAATGGGGGCAGCCAACACTTATTCACTCACTGAACTTGTACGTGCTAGGTGCTGTGGCAAAGATATTCTTCACATGAACTAACTGAATCCTCACAACACCATTTTCCAGATGAGGAAACAGGCAGAGAGAGGCATCAGTCACAGCCACTGTTGAAAGCCAAACTGGGTTGGCCTCAGACAGATTCCTGTCTGAACCCCTGCCTCCCCATCTGTCATGTCTTGCAGGGCGGCATGAAAGCTGTGGTCTGGACTGATGTGTTCCAGGTCGTGGTGATGCTAACCGGCTTCTGGGTTGTCCTGGCCCGTGGGATCATACTGGTGGGTGGGCCCAGGAACGTATTTGAGATTGCCCAGAACCACTCCCGGATGAACCTGATGGAGTGAGTAAAATTGTAGAGAGGGTACTGCAAAGAGGTGGAGGTGACATCCCTCTGCCCTGGGAGAAGCCAACCAGTGCCTCCTCCTCCCGGAAGTCCTCCCTGCTTCCCTTCCCAGACTCTCCACAGACCAAACATTTGCCTCCCCTCTCTAGACTGCCCTAGCCCCCATCCCTCCAACTGTCCCACCATGTCCCCCAGCCCAGAGTGGACACTGATGGCTCCCCGAGGTCACAGCTGGGCACCGAGAGGTTTTTGAATGCATACATGGACGACTCAGTAAACAAAATTTTCAATCTGGCAAACTCCTACTCATACACTTCAAAACCCGCCCCAGAAGTCCCCTCAAGGCCCATAAGGTTCAGAATGGCCATCTGGGGCCCTTGGGAGGGTAAAGTCAATGTGGTGTTCCCATATGGCTGTCTTGTCCCTCCCTTATCCAGCTTTGACCTGGACCCGCGGAGCCGCTACACATTCTGGACTTTTATAGTAGGCGGCACGTTGGTGTGGCTCTCAATGTATGGCGTGAACCAAGCACAAGTGCAACGCTATGTGGCCTGTCGCACGGAGAAGCAGGCCAAGCTGTGAGTGTTTAGGAGGTGCAGGGTGGGGGCCTCTGGGACCAGCTGCCAACCCCCCACCCAGCCTGAGGCTGTGCCTCCCCCGCAGGGCCTTGCTCATCAACCAGCTGGGCCTGTTCCTGATTGTGTTCAGCGCTGGTGGCTGTGGTATCATCATGTTCACGATCTATGTAGACTGTGACCCTCTCCTTGCAGGGCGCATCTCCGCCCCTGACCAGGTAAGTCTGGCTGAGGCTCGTAGGCCACTCCTGCCTTCCCCACCCCCACTCTGAACTGCCGCATGGATGAACCTCTCCAGGCAAGGGTGGAATAGCATCTAGAAGAGAGAACAGCCTGTGCAGAGGTCCAGGGGCAGCAAAGAGCTTGGCTCAGAGGAGGATCTGGAAGGAGAGGGGAAGAACAAGGCTGGGAGGCAATGGGGAGCCATGGGGGGAGGGAATGTGCAGGGGATGGGCACATTCAGATTTAGAGTCAGAGACTCCCTGAGGGATATTAAGGTGGAGATGGGATCATGGTTCAGCATGAAATGATGGTGTTGATTATAATAATCATCAGCTCTCATGCCACAAGTGCCTACTCTGTTCCTCATGCTGTTCCCTTCACAGTCTCCCATAAAATCTTTCAGCATGTGATGAGGCCAAGGCTGTCATGGCCCTCACTTTACAGATGAGCAAACTGGGGTTGGAATGGGTGGGAACCAACTGTCTGAGGTCAACAGGTGAGTCGGCCGCAGCACTGGGGCAGGAGGCCTGCCTGATTCAGAGTCTGTTCAGAATTGGCAGAAAATGGAAGGCTGTCCCATCTGCTGTCCTCTGCTGGGGTCAGCTCCTGGACTGCCTGACTGTGCAACCTTAGCCAAAGGCCACACCCATTAGCCTTACTGTCCTCATCAGTAAAGCAGAGATAACGTGGAACTCTGCCTCACTGGGATCCCAGGGCTCTGTGCGTGGTGGGGCTCAGTGACTGTCCTTCGGGGCACAAAGTCAATCAGCAAACACACACTCAGTGCCTGCTGTGAGCCCGGTCTGCACTGGGCCCTGGGGACATGCAGTGTGAGGACAGACAGAATCCCTTGTCCTTGGGGTGCTGCTGTCCTGGACGCCAACTCCCCCCCACCCAGTACATGCCCTTGCTGGTGCTGGACATCTTCGAGGACCTGCCTGGAGTCCCTGGGCTCTTTCTGGCCTGTGCCTACAGTGGCACCCTCAGGTGAGCAGCCCTCCTTGCTCACCCGGCTGTCCCCCTGTGGGATAGAATGTTCTGGGCATGTCCATCATTTACAGTTTCTGCTTGGTCCCCAGTGGGCAGCTCAGGGTGGCCCCAGCATAAGGGGGGGCCCTAGCAGAAGGCATGCCCTGAGGACAAGGACCCCAGCTGTGGGGTTTTCACCTTCTTATCACCTGGCAGGGCCTCACCTGCCTCCCCTCTCCCTTCTTTCTTTCCTTCTTTTGGCCCCCAAACAAATGTTATTGAGCACGTACTGAGCACCTACTATATACATATGTGGCCTCTACTGCCATTCTGAGTCCCAGGGCACAGCTGTGACTGAGTGGTACCCCACTTCTGCCTCAGGGGCCTCACATTCCAAATATTCTGTGACTTCTGGCTCATCCCTGCTCTTGCTGTGACCAGGGTCCCATGCAGTTCTCAGCAGCAGCCTATGGTTGCTGTGTAATGAGAACTTGTGCCATTCATGTCCTTGGTCAGGGGTGTCTTTGCTCCCGTGGGGGTGTCTTAGGGCTGGGGGCATGGATGGTGGGATGGTGGACATCTCCTCCACTCTTGAGGAATTCTGTCTGTTACCCATGCCTCTGCCCTTGGGCTAGGTCAGATGGTATGAGCAGCTGGGGCCTCCCCCAGCAGGTGAACCCCAGAGAGGGGTGTGGCCAGTCCCTTGATGAGGCCTGTTGACCACCCTCCCCACCCTATGCTCAGCACTGCCTCCACCAGCATCAACGCCATGGCCGCAGTCACTGTGGAGGACCTCATCAAACCTCGGCTGCCAAGCCTCGCACCCCGGAGACTCGTGATGATCTCCAAGGGGCTCTGTGAGTTGGGGGAACCTGATGGGGGGGGCAGGGCGGCTTCTCTCCACTGACCATGCTGCCCCCCATCTGCCACAGCCCTCATCTATGGCTCAGCCTGTCTCACCGTGGCGGCTCTGTCCTCGCTGCTGGGGGGAGGTGTCCTCCAGGTGAGCGTCCCTCCCTGACCCACCCCATCGCCACAGGAAGCAGGGCACGGTCTGCTTTGAACTGAAACCCAGAAAGGGTCCTACTTTTCACGGCAGAACTGGTCTGATGCCACCCACCTGATAACTTTCTACAGTCACCTGGCTGGTGGCAGTGGCAGTGGGAGGTGGGGTGGGGGGAGTGGCTTGGAGGTGGGACCAGAATTTATCCAACACAGGGGAGAGAGGCAGGAACAGGGAGTCCCATCCCCTTTAGGGAAACAAGCATGGGTCTCAAGGTCCACAGTGGAATTCCTCAGGTCTTGCTTTCCCAGCAAACAAACTGAAGCCAGGAGAGGTGGGATGGTTCTGCCCTCAGCTCCCCCTCCCCTACCCCCTCTCGCAGGGCTCCTTCACCGTCATGGGAGTCATCAGTGGCCCCCTCCTTGGAGCCTTCATTCTGGGGATGTTTCTTCCTGCCTGCAACACGCCGGTGAGTGGGGGCAGCTAGGGGTTGGGAGGGCACAAGACCTCTCTCCCCTGACCTATACTCTGCCCCCCAGGGTGTCCTCTCCGGGCTGGCCACTGGCATGGCGCTTTCACTGTGGGTGGCTGTGGGTGCCACTCTGTACCCGCCCAGCACCCAGTCCTTGGGAGTCCTGCCGTCATCGGCTGACGGCTGTGTCATGCCCTCAGCCAATGCCTCTGAATTCTTGGGCCAGTTCCTTGCCACCAACACCTCCAGCAGGAACACCAGGTGAGCTGGCCTGAGAGGGTGCGGTAGGGGAGGGGGGCTCTGAAACTGAGTCTGAATGAAAAGGAGGAATGTGCTCTTGGGACAGTGAGGAAGGGCATTCCCAGTGGAGAGAAGGGCAAGTGCAAAGGTCTTGGGGTCAGGTTCAGTTTAGTGCATTCCAATGATAGAGAGGATGGGGTGTATTTAGTGGGCCAAGAAAGGATAGATTAGGTTCAGGCAGAAGAATGTGGTCTGATTCTTTATTTTTATTATTATTACTATTGAGATATAATTTACAGACCATAAAATGAACCATTTAAAAGTGGTTTTAGTGGATTCACAAGGTTACACAACCATCACCATTAACTCAAGAACATTTTCATCACCTCACAAGGAACGTCCATCCCCATGAGCAGTTGCTCTCCCTCCAGCTTCTGGGAGCCACTAATCCGATTTCTGTTGCTATGGATTTGCTTGTCTGGACACTTCTTATAAATGGAATTATACAATAGACAGCCTGTTTCATCTGGCTTTTTTCACTCAGTGATGTTTTCAAAATTTTTGTTTTGTTTTTGATGTTTTCAAGGTTTATCCACATTGTAACACATATGAGGGCTTGATTCCTTTTTTAATCAATTCCTTGATTCCTTTTTAATATTCCTGTGTGGATGGCTCACATTTTGTTTATCCATACATCCCTTGGACAACTCGGTTGTGTCCACTTTTTGGCTACTGTGAACAGTGCTGCTATGAACATTTGTGTGCGAGTTTTGGTGGGGACATCTGGTTTCATTTCTCTTGGTCTATACCTAGGAGTGGAAATACTGGATCACACAGACATTCTTTTTAAATTATTTTTTAAACACTTTTTTAAGGTTTTATTTATTTATTTGAGAGAACAGAGTGAGTGGAAGAGCACGAGCGGGGGTGGAAAAACAGAGGGAGAAGGAGAAGCAGGCTCCCTGCAGAGCTGGGAGCCCGATGTGGGGCTTGATCCTAGGACCCTGGAGATCATCATCTGAGCTGAAGAAAGATGCTTAACCTACTGAGCCTCTATATCTTTTTTTTTTTTTTTTTTGAGAAATGCCTATCCAAACCCTTTGCCCATTTTTTTTTAAACTGGCTCTTTTTTTTTTTATTGTTGAGTTCTAATTTGTATGTTCTTTAAATCTTTATGTATTCTGCATACTAGATCCTCATCAGATATATGATTTGCAAATATTTTCTTCCACTCTGGATTGTCTTTTCATTCTCTTTATAGTGTCCTTTGACGCACAGGAGTCCAATTTATCTCTGTTTTCTTGGGCTGCTTGTGCTTTTGGAGTCACATCTAAGAAACTATTACCAAATCCAAGTTCATAAAGATGCACACCTAATGTTTTCGTCTAAGAGTTTGATTTGGGTAGATTCTGAGGGTAATACGGAGCCATGGAGAGTGGTGAGCAGTGGCAGGAGGTAATCTGAGTTACATTTCATAATGCTCCCTCTGGTTGTGTGTATAGAACACCTATGGGTGGGAGTGGGTTAGCCTGAGAGGAAGAGAAGTGACTAATTGAAAGAGAAGTGACTAATGCACACATTTGAGTGAAAAATAATGAAATATTGCACTAGGCCGTGGCAGTGGAAATGGGAGGAAATGAACAAACTGGGAGTGGCTTTGGACTCATGCACACCTCTCCTACCCCCAGCCCTGAAATGGACCTTGATCGACCAGCCTTAGCTGACAGCTTCTATGCCATTTCCTACCTTTACTATGGTGCCCTCGGCACGCTGAGCACTGTGCTATGTGGAGCCCTCGTCAGCTGCTTGACAGGTAAGCAGGTCATATGTCCTCCTTAGAGATCACCTTGTGGATCCCTCTGCCTCCAGGACCCACCACCGGGCAGGAAGAAGAGAAAAGACATTCCTGCCAGCCAAATGGCCACCACGTGCTTGATGCATCAGCACCCTTTCTGCTGTGTCGCCTTCGGGACAAACCCTGCAACTCGCAGGGCTGGTCCCATTTTGCAAAGGCATAAGAAAACTGAGCTACCCCTCCTCCCTTCTACCTACCTATCTAGTCTCTCCCCTGCCTCCAAAACGTCCTTGCCAGAGGGTATGGGGAGCCGCAAGGCACTGTCCATTGTGCTGAAATAGCTTCTCAGCAGGACCTCAGGGGCTCCGTGTCCATCCGGGGATTCTGAATGCCACTCGAGAAGTGGGAAGACTTCAGGAGACATCGATAGTGATCACAATACCCGTTCTTGCTTCCTGTGTCTCAGACTTTACATTCACCAGGGCTTTCTTGAGTCCTCTGTGCCAGACAGTATTCTAGATGCTGGGGAAATAATGAACCATAATGAACCACCCACCGATGTATTAGACCCCCTTACTGTGTAGATGAGAAAACTGAAACCCAGAGAAGGGCAGAGGCTTGCCAGGGTACCCAGTGGGTCATTAACGAGAATCTGGGAATTGGAACCCATCAGAGTGCTCCCTTTCCCCTCTCTCTCCAGTTCCCATCACCTCTTCACTAAATACCCCCCTTTCCCCTCAGGCCCCACCAAGCGCAGTACCTTGAGTCCTGGGCTCCTGTGGTGGGATCTTGCACGGCAGACAGCATCGGTGGCCCCCAAGGAAGAAGTGGCTATCTTGGATGACAGCTTGGGGAAGGTCAGTCACAGGGCTGGCTCTCAGAGCAGGGGAGGGACAGTGAAGTGATTTTTGATCCCCTGGGCATGGCCATAAGTCAGGGGAGGAACATGGTGAATCACCATCTTTCTCAACCTCTTCCAGCAAAAAGGCTTGCTTGAGAGTTGACATGTCTTCCACACTTTTTATTAAGCCCTTTAAAAAAAAGACTGAATAGAATTTCGTATTATTCATTTCCTTGGATTACTTCCAGGCTGTGGCAAGTGAAACTGGTTTACCTTTAAGGCATTGATTTAAAACTCTTCTGTAAATAAAAGTACTTAATTCAAAAGTGAGTCAACTTAGAGAAAATCTTAAATAAGAAACATGACTGGGGGTGGGCCAAATTCACCCAAAGCCATGTGGTTGCTCTGTAAATGCCCTGAATTCAGAAGATGCTGTCCTTGATCCAGACCTGCCCCTGCTTTGGAATCCCTGTTTCATTTTCTCATTTCTTACACACTCGCTATGTCCCCAGCTCTACTCTGGGCTGGAGTTCATGTCCACTGTCTAGGAGCAGATAAAAGCTAAACTGAGAAATAATTAACTTCTCAGCAAGTAATGGCAGTGAAACAGGGTACTGTGATGAGGGTGGCCTCTTGGAAGAGGTAGAAGGTATAGCCAGCCCTAGGAAGATCTGGGGGAAGGGCATTCTGGATGGAGGGCACAGCAGGTGAAAAGGCTGAGGCCAGAAGCTTGAGAAGAGGAGGTATGGAGAGGGAAGGGATTTGGCTGGAATGTTTTGAAAGCTCCTTTCAGCGGCTGTGGCGAAATATTTATTTTCTTGAAGGGGAGCAGCCTGAAAGTCAGAGTGAGAGGGAGGCAGGCATCCTTGCAAGCACTGATGGCCTGAAATATCGGTGATGTGGGCATTGGGGGAGAGAAGCGGGTGGAGGTTTTGGAGGCAGAAGGGATAGGACTGGCTGATGCACTGGCCAAGGGGACGGTTGTGCAACTCCTGCCCAGGTTCTGTACTTTTAGGCCGTCAGCGACCCCATCTGGGGGATGAGCTGACACAGAGCAGAATGGGGTCCCTGATGGTGTCTTTCTTCACTTTTCATTCCAGGGTGTTGAGGAACTGCCCCCTGGAACTGAGAGGCCTCCTGACTTCCCGCCCACTGACGAGGACCATCTGCTCTTCCTGGGGCAGAAGGAGGTCAATGGACCCGGCTCCTGGACTCCCAGCAGTACACATGATCGTGGTCAGGACCTTCGGGAGACAGACCTCTGAGCCAGCAGGGGACTGGCCACCTGGGATGGAACCTCAGGGTAAGCCCTCCCAGGCCACAGAAGAACGGCCTCTGGCTCCAATTGGCTGGACTGTGTCTTTATGCAAATGAGTTTGGGATCCCTGCCCTATGGAAAGAGGTGAAGCCCTACCTTTGGAAGGTCATTTTATCCAGCCCCCTTCCAGCCAGCTCCTAGTCTTAGATGCTGCCCCCTTGCCTGTTCCCCCAAAATGAAGCCAGATTTCTGTCTATGTACAATAGAAAGATGTTGAAGTTCCCTCTGGACAACATGGGAAAATTGCAGGCCCAGCATTAGAGTCTGAGAAAGTCTCTAGTGCTTCTCTAGAATGTTAGCAAGGATTTCGGAGGTCCTCAGGCACCAATCCCTGCACCCCATCTCGCAGTTGGGGAAACTGAGGCCTGGAAAGGGGCAACAAATTGACCAAGGCCACAGAGCACACCAGAGATTCATTGAGAATTGGGACACCAGCACTTCGCCTTCACCGCCTCCCTCTTTTCCTCCCTTTGGAGGGTCGGACATCACATGGCCCCTGACCTTGGGAGCAAGAAGGGAAGATAAAGGAGAAATAACATTCTTGATCTTCCTCTTATCCTGGACACTACGTATCTTATCTACCTGAGGTTACAGCAAGTCAGGTTGGGGCAGGGACAGACCTGGGAGCTACATGATGTTGAAGGTCTGTTGCCAGCATGTCACCAGCAATAGACAGGGTCTGTGGACAGGGTCAGACAGGTGGGCAAAGCCATGTCCTGGGGATGCGCTTGACTTTGGATGCAGAGATTTAATCCATGCACATCAAATAAATGGACTTTGATGCTTAATGTTCTATACTGTCTGAAAAATCGTTCTGGTTGTTGCCTCAGATCTCCTCGGTCAGATGGGAGTGCGAATCTCAGTGTCTCTTGTCCCGAGACTGTGAGTGAATAAGCCTGAGTAAGCATCAGAGCAAAGTGAGAATTACCACCTTGGGGCGCCTTGTGCTGCCCTCCCTGGCACACAGCTTCTCTCCCTCTCCTGATCTGCACTTGAACCATCCCCCCCTCACTGCCCTTTCTGCTTGGACCCTGCCAGCCTCCACACTGTCCCTGCACTGGTCCCTTGGGGTCTCTGGGACCTTGAGAGCTGATTGAACTCACACCTGTACACATACCTCATGCAGCTCCTGGGGTCCCCAAGGGAGCAACCTGTACTCACTTCAATAGGGTCCTCCCCAAATTCAAGACCCAGAACCTCAGAATGTAACTTTATTTGAAGAGTCTTGGCAGATATACTTAGATTAAAATAAGGTCATACTGGATGAGGGCAAGCCCTCAACCCAGTGACTGTCCTCATAAGAAAAGAAGACACACGCACAGGGAGAAAGCCATGTGGATACTGAGGGAGAGACTGACACATCTACAAGGCAAGGGACAGCAAGGATTGCTGGACCCAGCAGAGGCCAGGAGAGAGGCAAGAGGGGTTTTCTCTCTTGGAGCCTTCAAAAGGAGTACAGCCTTGATTTCAGATTTCTGGCATCCAGAGCTGGGAGAGAAAAAAATATCTATTATTTTAAGCTATGGCAGCCCAGGAAGTGAACACACCTTGGGATCTGGGCTCTCTCCACCCCTCAGAGACCTGGCCCTCTGGCTGTTTTCAGGAAGCCTTTAGATTTAGACTTAAAAGGGACCGTTCCAAATTTTCAGTCATTGACTGAGTAACATGGGAAGCAGGCTTTCCAGTGGTTAGTGGTGCTTGCTTAGAGCAGAGCCCAACTTGGTGGTGAGAAGAGGCATGAGAGGCTAAGGCTTGTCTGGCTGATATTTTAGGGATCCAACCATGTTGTCCCATCATCAATAGTTCATTCCTTTCTATTGCTGAAGAGTATCCCATGGTACAGACGAATCAGTTTGTTCATCCATTCACGATGTCAGCCTTGAAAATAAAACAGCCAGTTCTTTTACCAGCAAAATGGGTTTATTCTGGAATGACAGTGGAACTGCAATTCGGGACTTGCAAGCTATGGCAAAACCATAGCCAAGTCTAGAGAACAAAGGAGAGGAACATTCCTTTACAGAGAAAAAGAAGGAAGTTGGCCACCTAGAGGGCTCAGTTGGTTAAGAGTTTGCCTTTGGCTCAGGTCATGATCTCAGGGTCCTGGGATCGAGCCCCTCATCGGGCTCCTTGCTCCGCAGAATCTGCTTCTCCCTCTCCCTCTGCTGCTCCCCCTGCACTGTGCCCTCTCACTATCTCTCTCAAATAAATAAATAAATAAAATCTTTTAAAAAAGAGAGAGAGAGAGAGAACTCATGCACATATGTGAGGGGATAGGGGCAGAGGAGGAGGGAAAGGGAGAGAAGCAGAATCCCTGCTGAGTGGTTAGCCTGACAAGGAGCTCTATTCCTAGGACTCTGAGATCACGACCTGAGCCAAAATTAAGAGTTGGTCGCTTAACTGACTGAGCCACCCATGCACCTCTAAGAATTCTTTATATATTCTGGATGCAAGTTCTTTGTTAGCCCTATGCACTGCCAATATTTTCTCCCAGCTTGTGTCTTGCTTCTTCAGTTAATAAAGATGGTCTTTGGAAGAGCAGAATTTGTAGTTTTGATTTATCAAAATTATCCATTTTTTTTGTGGTAAAATGTGCACAGCACAAAAATTATGGCTTTAACTATTTTTTAAGATTTTGTTTATGTGACAGAGAGAGACACAACGAGAGAGGGAAGACAAGCAGGGGGAGTGGGAGAGGGGAAAGCAGGCTTCCTGCCAAGCAGAGACCCCCCCACCCGCCCATGCAGGGCTTGATCCCAGGACCCTGGGATCATGACCTGAGCCGAAGGTAATAACTGGTAATAATAACTGATAATAACTGATAATAATAACTGAGCCACCCAGGCTCCCCTAGAAGAATATTTTAAAATAGTTGACATTCATTGTGCCTGTACTATGTGCCATGTGGTTTACCCATATTAGACGTGTTAGTGTTTATTGAACAGTGACTCAGGAGCAAGCACCTTTTTTAGCAATTATTTTATCGATTTATTTTTTCATTAATTGATTTTATTTTTTAGAGCAGTTTTAGAGTTATAGTATAGAAACACTGAGCAGAATGTTTAGAAAGCTCCCATAGGGGCGCCTGGCTGGCTCAGTTGGCTGAGCGACTGCCTTTAGCTCAGGTCATGATCTCAGGTTCCTGGGATTGAGCTCTGCCTTGGGGTTCCCTGCTCAACAGGGTGTCTGCTTCTCCCTCTCCCTCTGCTCTTCCCCCTGCTTGTGCTCTTTCTCTAGTTCTCTCTTTCTCTTTCAAATAAATAAACAAAATCTTTAAAAAATTTTAAAAAAAATCTCCCATAGACTTCTCTCTCCCCTACAGCCTCAGTTTCCCCTATTATTAACATCACATCTTTCATTAGTATGGAATATTTGTTACAGTTGATGAGTGAGTATTGGTACATTATTATTAACTGAAGTCTACAGTTTACTCTTTGGGTTGAATATTCTGTGTGTTTTGACAAATGTGCAATGTCATGTCTCCACCATTACCATATCCTACAGAATAATTTTCTTGCCTTAAAAATCCTGTGTTTCAGGGCACCTGGGTGGTTCAGTGGGTAAGCCTCTGCCTTCAGCTCAGATCATGATCTCAGGGTCCTGGGATCGAGCCCCGCATTGGGTTCTCTGCTCAGTGGGGAGCCTGCTTCCCCCCACTCCCATCTGCCTCTCTGGCTACCTGTGATATCTCTCTCTCTCTCTCTCAAATCAATTTTAAAAATCTTAAAAAAAAATCCTGTGTTTCACCTACATTGGTCTTGCATTCAGTCTCTTCATCGTTTTTATCTACTTTGTTTGTTTACTCTTTCTGATTTTCTATCAACGATAGTCTCATCTGGTCTCAATTCTTTTTCTTGTTTTATTACATTGGCCAGCACCTCTGAATCAGTGTTTAATAGTAGCCATGACTGTGGGCTTTCCAGCCCCGTCCTGGACTACGTCACCCTTTCTGTTTCACCATCCAACATGATACAGATGATTTTTTTTCCAATCATGATCTTTGATCAGACTAATTTTCTCCTAGTCCCCATTAACTAAGAATTTAAAAAAAACAAAAAAGTCAGAAGTGGTTGCTGGATGATATCCAAGGCTTTTCCAGCACAGTGAGATGATCATTTGGTATTTTTCTCCTTTTATCTCTTCATTGAGTAAGTGAGGCTTTCTGATGCTGAACTTTCCTTGCCTTTTGGGGGAAGGAAAAAAAAAAACCTGCATACCCCCAGTATGTTGTCCTTTAAAGTGCAGCTGAACTCAATTTGCTGATATTTTATTTAGCATTTTTTATGCAGCAAGGCTCCTGACCCCTTCCTGGCATCTGCTTATCCTGCCTCTCAGCTGATTCCCACAGGGTGTGGGGGAGGGCCTCTCAGAACATCTGCAACAGCTTAACCAGATGACTTCAACTCAGCAGCACCCCAGTCCCCTTCCCAGAACTGCTCCACCTCCAGGTAACCCTGCTACCCAGGGAAACCTTCTGCTGTTCACTTACCTTCTAGAACCCCATTCCTTAGAACTGTTGATTCATTCTACTAAGTGGGGGGAGGGGCCAGCCACAAAGCACCCCACCACCCCAACACCCTAGGGCCTCCGGCTTGTCTCAGTCTCCCCTGCTGATTTTGGCATTCGCAGCTGCAGCTGAGGCCAACAGAGGTCCCACATTCTTGTTGTTCTGGTGCTGTGAGAGAGTTTTCAAGAAGCCAGACTGAGCAAAAGACAGGACCTGGTGGGAAGCAGGTAAGTTTCCACTGGTCTGACCCCACCTATCTCTTCTTCAGGTCCACAACTTGTGTCGGCTTCAGGCTTAGCTGACTCCAGGCACAGCTGGGGCCGAGGGGGCCAAGGATGAAGGATCCACCTTATATCCTGTCCTCCTTGGGGCCAGGTCTCAGACAGGGGCTGGAATCTGGGATCCCCCTAAACCAGCAGCTCCTGAGGAGGCAGCTCACCTCACCCCAAACCAACCCAAAGTATAGAATCTCAGTGAAAT